CTTGTTTCTTGTAATATGAGCTCCTAAAGATCTGTAAATCTACTTGAGATTATTATCCTGGGTAGTGGAGGCTGAGTGGGTTGCCAAAAAAAAAAAAGAGCTATGAATCCTATGCTAGCCTTTAGCAGTTCGAGACACCCACATTGATCATGAGTGACTAGCCTTTGGAGCTCCAGATAGCTACCAGATATTAGTCTTGCCTGCTTTGCAGATGATGGGATGGCTTGGAGCTCCAGAGCTGTAACACTAAGGGGGCTATAAGGCACTTGGTATCCCAGAGCTGTAACTTCAAGGACCTAGAGCTGCCAATGCCACCATTTTCTGAAGTGATTCTATGAAGAGCCATGAAATTTGATTACAAATACACAGATCACTGATTGGCTCACTTCACTTCCACTCAACTTTTCCAACAGACCACCCTGTTTTATCTCATAAATACCCCTAACTAATATCCTTGAGGGGGCAGATTTGAGACTTGGGATCTCATCATTAAATTTAGTTGACCTCTACATTTCTGCAGAACTCCATTCTGTGATTGACATACTGTATAGTGGGTAGATGCAGCCTCATTTGGTAAGCACTTAGAAAATGACACCCCAAGTAAGATGCTTTTGTGGACTAAATGCATTTGGATTTAAAGCCACCAGAAGGTGTAGGATCTGCCTTTACTAAAAAGATTTTTTAACTTCTAACCTTCTTTTGTCTTCCAACCCCCAACCACAGGAAAAGATTCTGAAGTTTCCTTATCTGGCCAATGAAACATCTTCCAAAAGAGAGGTAACTGTCTTAAACTTCTTCCTTAGGAGATGGAGAGATCAAGTAAAAAGATTAACTCCTAAAGAAGAAAGGGAGAATTGGAAAGTCATCACCAGCCCAGAAAGACTTGTTATCTGTTCTTCTGAAGACAGCTCTTGAGGTTCCTTGGGAAACTTGATTTACTTAAGACATCTTGGTTGATAGTGAAGTTCCATTCCTCACCTCCCATTAGTTGTTAATTTTCCAGGAACTGAAAGGCATTTTGTCTCAGTCCATTGTCTGCTCTTTGAGCTCACTCATTTTTCCTAAAAATTATTTACTACCTCTCTCAAGTGGCCCACATCATTCTTCCACATCTCCTGTTTGTTTTTTTGGTGTGGTTTATTTTGGAGGAATGATTTATTTTGGCTCAATGAAGAGAGTTTTTAAGCCTCAAACACTTGACTTTTTCTTTGGATTGTCATATTTTATATGTAAAAATACATCTGTCCATATTAAATAAATTTGCATGCCTTTTTTTCCTGCTATTTATTTTAAGTTCATTTCAGTGAATATTCAGAGGGCAAGGTTAGATTTCCTTTTGTCCCTAAACCTTCCCTCCCAAAATCCGTATTCTAATATCCAGAACCTGTGAATATTTTACCTACTATAGCAAAGGGACAATGTGTTTAAATTAAGCATTTGAAACACAGAGATTGCTTTGGATTTTTCAGATGGGTCCTATGTAATTACAAGGGCAAGACAGTAGTATCCAGGGGACAAGAGGGCCACATGATAACAAAAGTAGAATCTTGAGTACTATGGCCATAAGCCAAGGAATTCTGGAAGCTTGTCAAAGCTTGAACAGTCCAGAAATGGGCTCTTCCCTGAGCTTCCAAAAGGAACACTGTACTAACACCTTGACTTTAGCTCTGTAAGACTTATTTTGTGCCTCTGACCACTGGAACTATGAGGCAATAAGTGTGTGTTTTTCTAAGCCAATAAACCAGTATTAGTTACTTATAGCAACAAGAGAAAACCAACACAGTTGGGAAAATCTTGCCAGGTGTTGTGGCTTCTAGCCCAAGGCAAATTATTTAAATTTTCTATCATATCTCAGTATGATTTTTAAGTGACTTAAGAATAGTACTTGCCTTTGAGGGTCTTAAGCATAAACTGTGATAACACAAGCAAAACACCTACACGTAGAAAACATGTGATAAATTAATCACTAGGATGAGTGTACCTGCAGACTATTCAGGGCTCAGTACTTCTGTCCTGCCCTCCTTTCTCCTTTGGCCTGGCCTCCTTCCCTTCTTTCTTTTTCCTCCTGTGTCTTAGTGAGGACTTAATGACTGAAGTCACTGGAGCCTTCTAGCGCTCCATGTTTTGGGGGAAGACACCACTCAGATGACAGATAAGTGTAAGGTAGAGTGTAGATTGGGAGAGTAATTTAGTAGTACAGCACTTGCTGAGAATGTGAGAGGCCCTGGTTCCATTCCAGTACCATAAAAACAAAGAGCAGACACCTCTGGATGGGATGTACTGCCATAATATTTATAGATTTAATAGTTATTGATAATATATGAACATCTAAAAACTAGTTATATATTTTATTATAAGCACAAGTAAGCACCCCCACTTTAGGTATAACATTTAATGAGGATTTCAACTGAATCCTTGAGAGATATACATGTAATTATGCGACTAAATTCAGGTTTTGGAAGGTATGCACAGATTATGTTAGAAGTCTATCCCCTTGACAGACCCAGAAACACATGCAGCTTTTATAAACATATCTTTTAGACAGCTTTATTGAGGTATAATTGACATACAATAAACTGTACATACCATTTGGTTAGTTTTGACATGTGTGTATAGCTATGAAATTGTCACCATAATTAATACAATAAATATACCTGTCAACGCCCACAGTTTTCTCATATGCCTTTGTAATCTACCCCTCCTTCTCTGTGGCCTTCTACCCCTTCTTGCACACTGTTTCTGCAGGACCTACTTCTATTGCTCTAGAAAACACAAACTTGTATTTTCTAGAATTTTATATAAATGGCACCATAAGTGGCATTTTTCACTCATCATAGGCAGATCATCTATGTCATCATGTGGATCAATAGTTCATTTGTTTCTGTTACTGAGTAGTATTCCATTGTATGGCTTTGCCATGGTTTGTTTATCCATTTTCTATTTAATGAACATTTGGATTGTTTTCAGTTTGGGACTGCTCCAAATGAAGCTGTTATGAAAATTCTTGTAAAAGTATTTGTATGAATATGTTTTCATATCTTTGGGGAAAATACCTATTAAATGACATGTACAGGAGGCCATTGGTTTGGGCTGAGCCCCTGCACCTGGCACAACTGGCCAAACCAAATTGGAATCCTTCATGTTGAATTTCTGGTTAACAAGCCAAAACTAAGTTGTTCATCGGACTTTATGCGAAATCAGGAAAACAAATTATTAGAGCCAAATTATGAATGAGTGAGCTTTAGCTATCACAATAAAGGGATTTCTTCACTTTTAACCTTTACAGGGAAAGTGACTGCAAAAAAGCCAATCTGATTTTGTTCCCTACTCCTACTTTTCTCAACCTTCTTCGTTAATAAACCATCCTCTTCTACTCAGCTCAATAAGCCTTGTTCTATTTGATGGAATGAGATATTGCCTGATTTTAGAATCACAAATTAAGCCAATTAAGATCTTGAAATGTTTTTACATTTAAAGAATAATGCTAGGGCTGGGGATTTAGCTCAGTGGTTCCAGTGCCTGCAAGGTTTTTGATCTTCCTTCCCCCCCCCACCAAAAAAAAGAATAATGCTGGTGACACTGGAGACTCTTTAAGGGAGAACCTTTTTTTTTTTTTTTTTGTTATCGGGGATTGAAAAGGGAGAAACTTTAAGAGAGGTGATTATCTCTCCTTTTAAGATCCCCTATCTTCCTCGTGGACCCCTGAGGGAAGTAAGTTCTTTTTGCCTGGACTCTGCTCTGTTTACATTGAACCTCCTGATCTTTTTGGATTTTGAATTCAAGGCTAGCCTGTCCTTTGAGGGTGCTTGACACCTTCGAGTTTGGGTTGGCTACAGAGTCAGTGGAAAGGGCTGCAATTTTAAGGGTAACTGGTAGTGGTTGCAATAAGTGGTTATTACTTTACAGAGAAATCCCTGGTTTGAGAATTCACAGGTGTTTGGGTTCTAGCATCTTCATTTGTTTTCTGAGAGCTCTTAGGTAAGGGAAGCCTCAGGTGCCTGACTGGGTCAGACAGAAACTGAGAAATCATTATCTGGATTGATAAAGGGGATCTCAAAGTCATAGCCACAATATGATAGGCATGGTTGGAGTACTTGTGAGCCATTAGAGCGCTCATTACCAAAAAAATAGGACAACTATGCTGGGATCAGCTGGTAATGGAATGGGCTAGTTGATACTAGGTGACCTACCAGCCTCCAGAGAGCTAAAATAAAAATGGGATCCTTAATGTCTTTCTTTTCTTTTCCTTTCCTTTTCTTTCTTTTTCTTTTATTTTCTGAGAGAATCTTGCTATGTAGCTCAGGCTGGCCTCAAATTTGTGATCCTCCTGTCTTAGTCTTCCAACAGCTGATGTGTGCCCCCAAGCTGGGATCTCTAATTTCTAAAGAATTGGCCCTAGAAGCTGCAAATAATTATAAAGACAAAATCTTACCGAAGACTACTTAAAATTGTAATAGCTGATATATGGAATATTCCAGAAGAGCAACAGTGAACTTTAAAACTGGCCCTTTCCCAAACATGGATACTCTATTTCTCTGTCTCTCTTTTGGTCTTGATGTTTTAAACGTGTTTTAAATGTTTGTTGGCCTGAATTTCTGCCTGCTGGAGGCCCTTAGCTTTTATCAGGCTTCCATGTACATCAGCCAACTAAAAAACTGGAAGCCTCAGGAATATGGCCAGAGAGAAGGGTGGATGGTACCCTGTTTCTGGCCAGCATACTGCTTGCTGCTAAGTCTGTCTTTCTTTTGACTGTTTTTGGAAATGACCCTGGATTATAAAAGGGCTGCATCTTTTTGCTTCCTCTTTGGAGTTCATTAATCATGGTCTTGAGTCACTTGTTAAATGTACTTTTGTATTTGGAACATGGTAAGGACCTTTTTTAATTTGTTGTATTTCTCCTAGGCTAAAATGGAACAATATTAAGAAGGAAAAAAAAAAAAAAGAAGAAAAAGAAAACAGGAAAGAAGAGCTCAATACTTCCAGGAATATTTGCTGTTTTTCTGAATGAAACTTGATAATGCTATTTAAATGGAATTGTTTTCATTGCTGAGGATTAAGCCTTGAACCTTGTGCAAGTCAGGTAAGTACTCTACCACTATGCTACACCCCAAACCCTGCCAGGAGTTTTAAAAAGTGCTCTATGGTCAGGAGTTAATTTAATATGTCAAGTGGTGTCTAAGATACAGTTTCCTCTACTGAATCCTTCCCATGGGAACCGCTCTCAATTGAGTGAAGTCCCTCTCAAACCCCTGGGAACTCTGTGCTCTGCCCTTCTCTCTATTTCTTTTCTTGTTAAATTTTTTTTGACTATATCAAAATTGATCAAATCAGACATCTTAAAGAACTTTCTAAAAATATTGGTAAAGATTTTATTTAAATTGGCTTTGAAGTTAATGAGCACACCTAAAACTGCATGAACCAATGCAAAATGCTTTGCAAGTTCATGCGACTTGGACAAATCTTTGGTAAATAAGACTAGTTGTAATATTATTCATTTAATAAAACACAGCTGTGTCTCTTGAGCTATCAACTAAAGTAAAACAAAATAAAAACAACAAAAACTCCCTCCCCCTCACTAAACTTTAGTTTTTGCTTTGGAAATGACTGCCTGACATGCTGTAAAAATAGCTAATTGGGAAATAACTTTAGACAATGGCTAGCTTTTCCAAGATCTTAGGAAATTTTCATGAGTAATCTGAACATAATTGTTAAAAATGAGTAAATTAAGCAAGAGGTTTGTGTGATAAGTTTCATAAATGGTCATTATGACAATAATATATTTACTTTCAAAGTTTCCCAAGTCTCTGAAAACTGCATCAAAGAATTCTGCTAATTTAAATTAAATGATGGAAGCTGGGCTCAGTGGCATACACATGAAATCCCAGTACTCAGGAGGCTGAGGCAGGAGTGTGAATTTAAGGCCAGCCAGCTAACATAGTGAGTTCAGCCTGGCTTGGCTACATAGTGAGAGACCTTGTTTCAAAAAAATAAAATTCATTAAAAATCTAGATTATATCTAAATTTAAATATTAATTGCTGAATACTTAAAATATTCAAATATTAATTGTTGAAGTCTATTTCTTTCATCAGGTTTTGCTAGTAGACATGGAGAAATTGTTTTATTTTCAGAGGAAGCAAATACTTTAAAAAGTTTTTAAATGCATATTCATAAAATGTTTGTATGTGACAGTCCAAAATGTCCTATTTCCTAGATTTTCACTGGAAATCAAGGCCACTGCTTTGGTTTGGATGTGATTTGTCCAGCAAAGATTTGTATCCTGGAAGTCCTCTGTGTGATGGTGTGTAGGTGTGGAGCTCTTGAGACATGGGACCTAGCGCAAGGTAATAGGCGATGGGGTCCTGTCCTCTGAATGGATAGATGTTGGTCTTAAGGAATGAACTAACCCTGCAAGACCAAGTTGTTGTAAAAAGAGCAAGACTGGCGCCTCATCACTCTCAACCTTCCTGTATCACACTATGATCTCACCTGTGTGTGCTCCCACCACTGTGATACCATCCACCCAGAGGTCTCACCTCAGACCAAACAGATAGTGCTGCCCAACCTTGGACTTTCAGCCTTCACAACTATGAGCTAAATAAATCTCTTGTTTATAAAGTACCTAGCTTCTGATATTTTGTTAGAGCAACAAAAAATAAAGTAGGACGCTTACTGAGTTAAAACAAATTCTATTCAATGAATGGTAATTAAAATGAGGTAAAAAGGAAAAGTATAGGACAAATAACTGAAATAATATGAAAAAGTTGTAGATGTTTTATGTAAGATAAATATTGTGAAAGGAGTTGTACATGTGCTCAGCTGGCTAAAATTAGAAGGGACTTATATATGTTTTTATAAAAATGGAGCATTAATATAAAAGGTACAGTAATATGGAAGTAGAATTTTTTTCTATTCTATTAAAATAAGGTTTCCTTGGACTATTGATCTGCTCTTAATAGGAAATAGTGAAAAATTTTTCTTTACCTTTTAGGCACCTGTCCTAAAAAACAGATTTTGTGTTTTATTAGGATAATTTCTTATATTTTGTGCTTTTTTAATTAGGTCTTTAAATAAAATGAGTCTTCTCAATGTTAAAAGAGCCACTGTGTTTCTACAACTATGACATTTTTTTCTATATTTGCTTTTAAAATCTTTTGCCAGTTTGATTTTATAATGATCTTTGATCCTATTTTGATCATGTCCTCCCACCCCATTAGTTACATTTTCTTTTTTTTCTTTCTTTCTTTTTCATTGTTTATTGGTACTTTTAAAGTATATAATACAGTTACATTTATCGTTGGGATCTTGTACCTTTACATGACATCTTGATTCTCATTTTTTTCCCCATACCCCTGCCCTCCCTTCACCCCCCTACTACTTACAAAGACTTTGTTTCCATTTTTTCATTTTCTCATATTTTTTCTTTTCCCTTATTTCTTTTCCCCTACCCTTCCCACTTCCCCTACACCTTTAGTCCTTTTCTTCCTATTTCACATTATCAGTTATACAATTTGGATCTTATTTACACTTTTAATTTTTCACACCAGAGAAACTTTTCGGTATTTACGTATGTGTGTCTTATTTATTTCATTGAGTATGGCCTCGATATACATCCATTTTCCCACGAATGACTCTAGTTTCTCATTCTTTATGGCTGAGGAGTATTCCATTTTATAGAAAAACCACATCTTTATCCAGTCTCCAACTGATGGGCAGTTGGGCTTTTTCCAGGTTTTTGCTATTACAAACTGTGCTGCTATAAACATGGGTGGTGATCAAGTGTATTAAGCTCTTGACATTTTTGACAAATGTCCCAATTCTGAATTAAGTCTTTTTTCTAATTCTTGAACTAACTTTGGGATAGTCTAAGAGGGCTTCTAGATGTATATATAAAGAGAAATATTATATCATTTAGGCTTATGTGATACATTAAATTACTTAACATAACAAGAAATGATGTTTAGCCTTTGTATGGATGTGTTATTAATATGTCCAGGAACTATATGAAATTTCTAGAAATCTGATAAGTCATAATCATTGTTATTATGCGAACATGCTGTATGCCATATAAATATTCCAATTTCCTCATCATTACTAGTTGTATGAATTCTCATCAGTTCTTTAACCATGCCATTTTGGAAGTCTTGTCTGTAATTAATTCTTCATTTTTATGCTTTTTTTTTTTTTTGATACCAGGGATTGAACTTGGGTCCTTGTACTTGCAAGGCAGGCCACTGAACCACTGAGCTAAATCCCCGGCCCATTTTTATGCTTTTTTAAAAATCACTTTTTCAAACAAAGTAAATAATAAACAAAATAACCTTAAAGTATTGTGTTTTCGAGGAGCTTCGTGTAAAGGTTGCATGGTAAGTGTAAGTTTCTGATAATTTTAAGATCATACAATTAGACTAGGTAAGAAATTCTAGGATTCTAAAAAATAAACTGCTGTTTTATGAAACTTCTAACAAAGATCAGCAGAAAACAGTTAATTACAAGAAGCTGAATGAACTGATAAGAAAATGAGTTTTTATGACTTTTAAAATTTGAAACATTGCTGATTATTTTAATATTTTACTGTCCAGACTTTAGAAAACACTTTTAAAAGCTATCAATAGTTTTCATCAATTTGGTAAATTATAATTTTGTGAAAAAATTTACTATTTTCCCCAACCCAGTTCTTCCAGAATTGAGAAATATTTGCACATATTCTTGTTTTTAAGACATTATAGTTATTTTCATAAGTCTGTTAAGAATCTTCTCTTGCTATAAGATACAACTGGAATTATTACAAGTGTTACTGAGATTTGCCAGGGGTGCCATATTTGAGGATATGGATAGAATGAATTTATAGGCACCATAGGCAGAGCTTGAAGTCTGCCTTGTTTTGGCCTCCTAGCTTTAAGAAGTTTTTAAAAATTCAATCTGAAATTCTTTATCAAAGTCCTAACAATGCAAACTTACAATGAGCTTACATGGTCAACCACTGTTCTTACTGCACTTAATAAGTAAGTAATCAGGCCATGTTTCATGAGACTAAATTTATTTTTTAATTGAATTAGTCTTGCTCTATCTTTGGTAGAAATGGGAATATAGTAGAGAGAAAAATTATGTTTCAGAAGAAAAGTTATGGTAAATCTGGTATTTATCAGATGTTCATTATTTTTGAGTTTTTATTATCTACCTGTATTCATCTAGTTTCCTGCAATCCAAGTTTTTCAGCTGTAATCACTAAGAACATGAACTGCTGTCTCTGAAGCTCTGTGAGCTAAAGCTGGACAACTCGATATACATTTTAGGGGACAAGTTTCATGCGATATATGAGCCACAGAAAGAGTTCACCAGAACACCTAATGCTATAACCAGAGACATTCAAACTGCAAATCAGGATAAGAAGCTGACAACTGCATGCTGTGGACAGCTTATGCAAGATACCAGAACAAGCTCCCCATTGTAATCAGACTCTACCTCTCAATTTTTTCTTGCTCGTACCTACCTCTTTTGCTTGTCAGAACAATGCTGGAGTTTGAATTTTATAAGCAGTAGCTTTTGTATGTGACTTGATGAAATGACAGACATGCAACTGCTGTTCAAATTGTACTGGTATTGTTCCTTTGTAAGGTAGAGTCAGACCTTTAGACCTACGTGTTCTCATTGCTGCTTTAACTTGGCCCAGCCATAGAACACTATGTAACCTACTAGGTGGATAGAGAGAGAAACTCGTGCAGTTACTGACACTTCTTATTGCATAGGGATGCATAGTTTGGGCATTGTAGAGACTCAGCTGGAAATATTAGCAGTCTACTTGGTTAAATGGGTAGACTCCTCGCCTGGTTCATTGACTGACCTATTTGAACTTAGTTGGTTTAGTTCATTGGGACCCTAGCCAAGGAACATATTCCAATCTCTTGGTATTACCTTTCACATAGTCATAAAAATAATATCACCGGTGTGCTGTATTCTCTTTGAAGTTTTAGATGTTTATATGCTATCTGTCAAATGTCAAATGGTTTGTGTTTAGTTGGACTGATGAAAATTCAAAGAAGTATGTGATTATAAGGACACTCTAACTTGTGAATGATGTGTTGAGACCAGAAACTTAAAATGACAGTAATTGAAGAGTAGTATAGTGCCCTATATTTTGATCACCTTTGAAACAGCCTGATCAAAAGGGAGAAGCTGATACATAAAATGTACAGGAAACTATTGGTTTGGGCTGAGCTCTTGGACTAGGCCTAACTTCCCAAACCATAATGGAGTCCTTCATGCTACAGTTCTGGTCACCTAGCTAAAACTAATTGTTCTGACCTTCCAAGAATCCAGAAAAATCAGAGATAATAGCTAAATCCCCAAATATGTTCTTGCTGGCATGATAAGGGTGTTCCCTTTGCTTGAGCCTTCTCATGTAGAGTGACTTTGAAACAATCTGTTAAGGCTTGTGTCTAGATGTCCCCCAAAGCCTCATGCAGTCGTAGGTGGGGTTTATTGGAGATGGCTGGATCTAGGGTGTATGATAGTGGGATTAAGGGTGTGATGCTGGGATTAAGGGTATGTGATAACTAATTAGTTCACTGTTTGATTTAGCATAGTTCTGGGTGTGGATAATAGAAGGCCCACACTAGGTGTAGGTGGCACCACTCGACAGGTGGATATTCTGGAAGGGATAAAAGGGAGAGGCTTCTGCTGCTTGCTTCTTCTTGTCCCCTGCTGTCCCCTGCCTGTTTGCCATAGACCATTTTTCTTCTGTGATGCCCCTCTGCCATGTCTCCCTGCCTTGGAGTGAGCTGACTATGGACTGGAACCTCTACAAACTATGAGCTGAAATAAACCTTTCCTTCTTTAACTTAGAGTTCACATATAGTATTAGGTATTTTGTCTCAGCAATGAAAGAAGTAACAAAGACCCAGCCGATCTGCTTTTGTTCTATTTTTCTGCTTTCCTCAGCCTTCTCTATAAAACAAATTTCTTTGCCAGCTCTTCAGAATACTCACTATATTTGAAGCAATGAGGCATTTTTTGACTCTAGAATCACAAATAAATCCAGTTAGGATATTTAAACTACATCTATGGTAATTTTGACTTTTGACATACCTGAGAGAGGAATGGCTGGGCTGCATAGTAGGTATGTTTCTAACTTCTTAAGACACAGCCAAACTGTTCACCAAAGTTATTGTCCCACCTGTAGTTTATGAGAGCTCCTTTCTGACAATTTATGGTAAGTTTTTTCATATTAGGAATTCTTCTAATGGATAAGAATTTTATTGTGGTTTTAATTCACATTTCTGTGATGAATGAAGCTGTTGAACTTATTTTTATGCATTTCTTTACCACTCATATACTGTATAAG